CCAAAAAGCGTCCCTTTAGGTCAAAAGCGGTTTTAGACCAGATAGAGAACAGCGATAGTAAATCAGAACCACTTGCAGAATTGAGTGATAATGATTCGTGGGGAAATTCATCATCAGACACTGAAAACGATTCTGCGACTGAGCTCAGTGATGTGCGAACTTGGCGCTCTATTTCAAATTTTAGTGTTTTTGGTTTGATTACATAATTGAATTAAATTTATTATTATATTATTATTTTTTTATGATTATTTATTATATTATAATTTTTGATTTCGTGTTTAAAATTTTATAATACCCGGGATGTTTACTAGACTTAACAATATGGGAAATATATGCGAGCGCACTAGCAAAGAAAGTATAGCAGCTGTACACCAGGTAACCATAAAAACCTCTAAAACAATATATAAATCAAAAAAGTGCAGCGCTGGAAAGAACACTATGGATATAAATAGTTAAATAAACAGTTCATATGGTGATTTCAAGTGACATCAGGTGCTCTCATAAAATCGTATTCTTCTGGTGGTAAGATGCTGTGAGATAGGGTGCAGAAAGAATGCACACTCACCAGAGCGCACAGTTAAATGAGCGTTTATGTGTATATGTTTCTCCTGAGGTCATCTGCTGATCAAGGTATTCTCTGGGATCCGATATCCTCCCTTCAAAGGTCCTAGATTTGTATCAAGGTGGTCCAGTATACCCCTCAGATAGTAGCCTATGGACTGCTCTGTAGTGGTAGGAAAAGCTCCTTCTCCAGTGGTCAGGTGGATGGCTGTGGATTGATACTCCCCAAGGGAGTCAAAGCAGAGACATCTCCATAGTGTAGTAAGTATATACTTTATTGGGGCAAAACGAGGGTATATAGTATAAAATTCAGTAGATGCACAAGCAATTGTATGGACTAACCGTCCAGTGTTAAAGATGGCCGCCGGAGCTCCACGATGCTCCGGCGGCGTGACGTCACGGCGTTGCTGGCTCCTCCTACGCGTTTCGTGCGCACGCACATCGTCTGGGGGGGTTTGCCAATGTTATGTTATGTTATGTTATGTTATGTTTACTAGACTTGTTCGGACAGATTTCAGTGAGTTATTCCTAAGAATTACAGGCCTACAATAAAAAAAACAACATATTTCCGTTGAAAACAATGTGTACCACTTTGAGCACAGAAATACTGACATAATCAGACCGCTAGAGAGGTTAAGTATACATGTGTTATACCTGGAATATCAAAGTAATATGCACTAATACTACAGTGATTGCTGCTAGCTTCCAGGTCCCGTGCTGCCCTGCTGCTAAGTGAACACCAGAGGTCATTTGTGTTCTGTAATTGGACAAGGTCGAGGGGTGGGGTGTTGATGTCAGGATCTCCACCTTGCAAAGTGTTCTCTGAATAGTGCCCAGGCTGACCTCCTATGTTCAATAAGCAGCTGGGCAGTCACTCAACAAGGGACTTGGAAGCTGGCAGCGATCACTGTAGTAGTGGTGCCTATTACTGTTAATTCCAGCTTCCTCAAAGATCGGGCAAGTATGGAAACCTTCATATTTACATTGATCCTAGCTGGACGAATGTAACAATGCAATAAATATGCATGCCTAAACGTAAGGACCATGGTCCTTAGGGAAAAAAAAATATATAGGGCCAGCCAAATGTAATAATGCATATTAGCATTTTCATTTATTATTGGTAAGGTAGGGTGCTCTCTGATTTCTAAATATCTACATAGGCATATATGCTAACTTCCAGGTATCATTATTATTGGATAGGATTGGAAGGATACTGGTTAACCTGTGAGGGTGATGTGTTATCATTTAGACCAGCCATTCTCAACCAGGGTTCCGTACAGTGCTGGATATATAGGGGGGCAACCGGGACAACTGCCCTGGGCCCTCCTTACAGGAGGGGTCCCCCTCTATACATAAATTATATAAAACATTATATAAAATATAAAAAAAATGAATAATAATGAAATAAAATAAAATGCATATAACAAAACCTCTCTTTTATTAAATGTATCTTGGGAAGTAATATTTTATCGGCCATCAACTGTAAAAGTTTTTACTCTTGACTGGTGTATTGTATCATTTTACAAAAACAATTTTAGGTAGCTCAAGCAATCCACAAAAAGCAAACATGGCTCCAGATCAGGGGCGGACTGACCATTTGGAAACTCGGGCACTGCCTGAGGGTCCGGGGTCAGTAGGGGGCCCCATGAGATGCCCCTGGTACCTTTTCCATAGGCTTTTTTGAGTTTGGGCAAAGACACAGGGGCCCCATGATCCCCTATTGACCGGAGGCCCCATGAGTTGTCAGTCCGCCCCTGCTCCAGATCAGTCTCCTTACTCCACCAACAGTAACACACTACCAGGTGCTAGCCCTGTCCATCACAGGTTCCATGATGCAAGAAAAATTCTGTCCGCACATCCGTTAAAATCATCTAAAATGCTTCATAAAAACAACTGCAAATACATGAAATGGGGAAACAGCAAATAACTGTTTGCTGTTTCCCATTCCATGTATACGGAGTTGTTTTTATGAAGCTTTCAAAAATAAAGATGATCTTATCAGATGTGCGACCAACCCGAATTTTTCTTGCATCAAGCAAAGTACACATAGAGTGCTTACGCTCTTAAGGAAGGTAGTCTATGACTGAGTGTGCATGCTTGACCTCAGAATGACATTTTAAAAATGTCTGTCATTGAGAATGTTAATCAACTCTGTGTATAAGGGGTCCCCAAAAATCTGAAGTCACCCAGGCCCCCTTAGGGTTCCTCCAGAAGTTGCTAGGGGGCCCTGAACAATGAGCAACTTCTGCCTCTCAGATGAATAACCGCTGATAACAATACTTTTTAGGTATCTGTAAGGGGGGACATTCTTCTCAATGACTGCAAATATAAGGAGCATTATTCCTAGTGACCATGATGCGTACTCTGAGCTGTATATGTAGAATTATTAGCAGGGGTGACCCAAGCCTGGAAAATTATTTCAGGGGTTTCTCCATAATAAAAGGGTTGAGAAAGGCTGGTCTAGAAAATAGACATCTGAGAGCACCCAACCTTACTAATAATAATTGAAACTGCACATATTTGCAAAAGGTGTATTAAGGACCTGTGTCAATGGAATTTTGTTTGCTTAAAACCTGTTTTTGCATTCCCATAAAAATCTATTGGAATGTAAAACCTGCTGAAAGCAGGTCTATGACAGATCAGAATGTGGTCCACTACAGTTCAAATACAGCTCTCCATGAATTCTGAATGATCCCAAAAGCATCTTAACCTCCCTGGCGGTATGATTATTTCCGATTTTTGGTGCTGCTGAAAGCGGTACCATTTTTTTGCATGGAAATATGTAGTTTTTTATTGTAGGCTGTAATTTTTAGGAATAACTCACTGAAATGTGTCCGAACAAGAGTCTATTAAACATCCCGGATATGATAAAACTTGAAACACGAAATCATAAATTATAATTTAATTAATAATCATAAAAAATAATAATATAATAATAATAAATTTAATTCAATAATATATCAAACCAAAAACACTGAAATTTGAAATACAGAGGCAAATTCGCACATCGCTGAGCAAAGTCGCAAAATCGTTTTCAGTGTCTGATGACGAATTTCCCCACGAATCATTATCACTCAATTCTGCAAGTGGTTCTGATTTACTATTGCTGTTCTCTAGCCGGTCTAAAACCGCTTTTGACATAAAGGGACGCTTTTTGGACGCCATGGACTTTTCTAAGTTTCCAGGCAGAAAGAACAGTCAAAATGTAGGCAGGGCACAGGACAAAGCACTAGGGACAAAATGTATGTGAAATTGTTTGAAACAGCAATGTTTTACTATGTAATAATGATTTTTAAAAAAATAACATTTTTAAAAAATTTCAAATTTGCCGCCGGTTCCAGCGCCCGTACATCCAGACGTCACAGGGACCGGAACATCGGTCGGAGGAGATGGCTGGGGACGCTGCAGGGGACACATCGCGGGAGCGAAGGACAAGGTAAGCGCTGCAGGGACTCCCTGAGCAACGCTGCATGGTAAGCCCGAGTGTAGCTCGGGGTTACCGCTCTTGGTACTGAAATTTTACCCCGAGCTACACTCGGGAACACCCGCCAAGGTGGTTAAACCAATGACAAATTTATGCCATGGAGACAAGTCCAAAGAACATTGACACAGATCATAAAGTACCACTAAAGGCTCCTGTATGGCAGCCTAAACGAGTACTGAATCCAATTACTATGGGATCCCTAAGCATCATAAAATGAACAAAAAATGTACATCAGCTTCTTGGACTGAGGCAAATTCTCTTTCATTTGTGTCCCACATCCTGTTCCTCCCAGTCACTGCAGATTACAATTGGCAGGGCTCTCAATCCAGGAAAAGCAGTGGACAAGTCTAGATGTGGCCAGTTGTCAACTGACAAGCTACAGGCTTGCCTTCACTAGCAGGATCAACACAAATTGGTGGAACTTTGAAGGGTGGCTAAGAGAAAACTGTAAGTGCAGAAGTACTCAGAACTGGGTGCTGCAGCACATATTTTTAATGGCAGTCCATAGTTCTACTTTAAAGCTGAAGATTAAATAAAAATAATTTATCTCTACAGCTTTAGTGACCTAACTTACCTATAATAAAGGATGTCCCACATTGTCCAGGCAGCTGGATCTTGAACAAATCTTCACTGTACTGATGCCCTGTCCTCTTCCTGCCTCTAAACCTTTGACACAGCTTTGGGTCTCTGGGCTAAATTCAATAACAAGAGTTCCTGTTGGGGACCCACACACTCCTACCTTCTTCTCTACTGAGAGAAGTCCTTTCATCGCTTTCACTGCTTATATCAGGACATCTAAATGGGAAAGAGTCTGAAGAGTCGAAGAATTATCTCCCTCATTCACAGATTATAGCTGTATGGCTAAGATTATTTGTATCTCATGAAAATTAAAATATAACACGAAAATTGCTCTGTTTATATCTATTTGCATAACTAAAGAAATTGTGACATAAAGACTTTGTATGTGTCTTTGTAGGTATGTGTTACTGCAGCAACTCATCATGCAGTTTTTATCGGGGTGGTGCAGGCTGTGAAAAATGTTTCTGATTCTGACGTAAGGCCAGTGTTGAACTGGACAACTCCAACCACTGTCTACATTGACATGGCACTGTACACAATTGTCAGCTTGGTAAGACCTTCTTGTCCATTTTTTTTTCTCTTAATGCAGGGGAAAGAGCAAAGAGTAAAGCTCCATTCACACTATGATGCAACTTTGATGCAACTTTGGATGGGTGCGACTTGGATGTAACTTGTCCCTCTGCAAAGTCAGACCCACCGTTGCATGCAAAACATTCAGGTATGACTTTTGTGCAACATTTGATGGTTAATATTGAAGTCTATGGCCTTCAAGTTGCATGAAAGTTGGACCAGTAGTTCATAAACTGCTTTGAAGTTGCTGAAATGTTAAGTCACACATGTGTGAATGGTTATCGTTGGAAAACAAAGGGGGAGAATTTGTCATGCGACTTTGTTGTCCAAGACACAAGTGTGAATGGGATATTATACTATAGAGTGCCACTTGGGTGACAGTTCTGAGGTGGCTGGGGCTGCCGACTTCACATCTAGGATGGCAACACCCAACAACGGTCTTACTGCTTGTACACCATTTCGTGTACGGATGTAGGGTTTCCCTTTGTCTTCCACACTTAAATGCAGTGCGTAAATGTGAACTAGCCACATGGGAAAGAATGGGATTTCTGCTTGACATACATTTTCATGCAACAAGATGGATGACTTTTGTTCCATCAAAACAGACCAGTATAAATATGCCCTAAAAGCACATATCTAATGGGATTATATTTGTTGAAATTAATGGTCTGTCAACGAGATCTCTGTAAAAAGAAAAAAAAATGTAGCCGTCCACTATGGAGAGCTCTTGCAGGATAATATATAGAAGCTGGTCTTGCTCCTTCGGTATTTTGGGCATTTACTATTACTCCCCTCATCCCCTCACTCTGTCATTTCCTGATTGCACGTTTGACACATAAAAATATGGCAAATGTTCACCCCAGTAAATCTGCATTATAAACAGTGAGGTTATGTTCACACTAGTCTGCTGGGCAAAGCGCATTTTACTATGCAGGCTTGGGACCGTGCTTGCTTATGGCAGTGAGCAGCGCTATGCCTGCTTATTTTTTCTGTTTTTTTTTCAACTTTATTTGAAGTGTCACATAGGGGTTTATTTACTAAAGCTGGAGAGTGTAAAATCAGGCTCACTTCTGCATAAAAACCAATCTGCTTCTAACCTCAGCTTTAACCCATTCAATACTGGGCAATTTTACACCTTCCTGCCCAGGCCATTTTTCAGGTTTCAGCGCTCTCACACTTTGAATGACAATTGCACAGTCATACAACATTGTACCCAAACTAAAATGTTATAATTTTCTTCACACAACTAGAGCTTTCTTTTGGTGGTATTAAATCATCGCTGGGGTTTTTATTTTTTGCTAAATTAACAAAAAAGTCTGAAAATTTTGAAAAAAAAACACGTTTTTCTTTGTTTCTGTTATAAAAGTTTGCAAATAAATAATTGTTCTTCATAAATTTAGGCCGAGATGTATTCTACTACATGTCTTTGGTGAAAATAACCCAAATTAGGATGTATTTTTTAGTTTGTAGGAAAGTTATAGAGTTCACAAACTATGGTATAGATCTGAATATTGATCAAACCTGAAGTTCTGACAGCCAATCTAATTTCTTGAGGTCCAAGAATGTCAGAACAGTACAGATATCCTCCAAATGACCACTTTTTGCAAAGTAGACAGTCCGACGTACTTCATAAGAGGCATGGCGAGTTTTTTGAAGTTGTATTTTCTTTGTCATAATTTTTCGGAAAATGAAAAAATAAAAAAAATTATTTTCACAATTTTTTTTTACATACTGTCACCAGTGCAGTACAGCGTCATCATATAACTGGCATGGCGGTGATCAGGGACACTGACTGGTGACAACGTGAACACAAAAAAAAAAAAAATATATATATATTTTTTTTTTTTTTAATTTTACATTTTTTATTAAATTTATTTTATTTTTTTAAGATTTTTTTTTTTCATATTTCACTATGTCCAAAGTAGTACAATGTTACCATAGTAACATTGTACTACTTTGGGGAAGTGATCAGTATTTTTATTTTTTTTTACACAATTTGCTTATAGCAAAGAATTACTTCGCTATAAGCAAGCATTTACCTGAATGACATCGATTCATTCAGGGTTTTTTTTTTGTGCTTAGCTGTGATTTGGCCACAGCTAATCACATGACATGTGCATGTGATTAGCTGTGACCATTCACAGCTAGACACTAGTATACAATGGATGGCATGAATGAAGCCATCCATTGTATACAACTGTCATGTGACCTGCTGTGATTAGTCACAGCAGGTCACATGGTACCAGCAATGGGGGCCGGTTCTCAGATCAGATCTGTCCAAGGTACTCGGCCGGTGACAGATCGCGCCGCTGCGCGGCTCTGCAAGCACGCGAACTGCGCATGTGCGGGAGGACGCCATATGGCGGCCTCCCGGAAAGGTAATACATTTTTGCGGATGCCATTTGGCCATAGGCCGGGCGTCAAATGGTTAATTAGGCTTTGGCAATAAAACCTGGAAGCTGATTGGTTTCTATGTAGAAGTGAGCCTGATTATAACTGACTATAAAGTATATGGCCAGCTTTAGAAATCTTGTTTATACACAGTATAACTACTATTGACTGAAATTTTAATTTCTTCCAGGACACGGCCCTGCAAACAATGATCTCATATGTCTGGTTCAACATGGTAAGTAATGACAATTCAAGCAGGCCATATCACTTCTTTCTTGTTAAAGATCTGCTCCTATAGCAAACAAATAATAATTTCCTCAATGGATGTGTGCCATGAAAATCTCTACATCGGTTTATGTTATCTTTAGAGTATTGAAAGGTTACATGAGGTCTCTTTATCATAATTCTTCAACCAAGACCCACACAGCTTTCACCCAAGATTCCCAACTTTCCACCAAAGATTCAATTTAAATAAAGTGTAAATCTTGAAAAAACATTGATAAATTGACACTACAGAGTTCTATTTAATGGCTTCCCTTCTGCCCACAGCCTATAAACGGCAGATAGGATGCAGCAGCACCGATGCAGGTTAATGCACCTGTATGTCAGCCCACATCTTCAGCTCCTGTGCTGCTCATAGAGCACACACACAGGAGCCCAGTGATCTGTGCGTCACCCCAGTGGATCACATTACGACTGTGTATGGATGATCACATGTTTTTTTTTACCATGTGATTGCTGTGTCCAATCAAATAGTAAACAATGCAAACTGAAAGTAATGATTGGCTCTCTCTGCTCTCACAGAGACTGGTGAGAGCCCGTGAGTGTATTGTCAAGCTGCATGTACACTCACAGACTGCAGTGCCAGCCTGCCCCAGTGTCCCTGATCACTGCTCCAAGTGTAATACCAAGAAACTATGCAGCCAGTCCCAATCACCTGTCCCAATGCTCACAATAACACCGCCATACACCATACCAACTTCCTGATCACCACGTACCAGAGTCCTAATCACTGCCATACCCCATACCAGCACCCTGATCACCGCCATACACCATAACAGTACCCTGATCACTGCCATACACCATAACAGTACCCTGATCACCGCCATACACCATAGCAGTACCCTGATCACTGCCATACACCATACCAGCACCCTGATCACCTCATATGCAATAACAGCATCCTGATCACCACCATACCCACGTCCAGATCACCGCCATTCTCCATACCAATGTCCTGATCACTGCCATACACCATACCAGTACCATGATCACCGCCATACACCATAACAGTACCCTGATCACCTCCATACACCATACCAGAGTCCTGAACACGGCCATACTCCATACCAGAGTCCTGAATGCCACTATATGCCATACCAGCACCCTGATCACCGCCATACACCATAACAGTACCCTGATCACCTCATATGCAATAACAGCATCCTGATCACCACCATACCAGCGTCCAGATCACCGCCATTCTCCATACCAATGTCCTGATCACTGCCATACACCATACCAGTACCCTGATCTCCGCCATACACCATAACAGTACCCTGATCACCTCCATACACCATACCAGAGTCCTGAACACGGCCATACCCCATACCAGAGTCCTGAATGCCACTATATGCCATACCAGCACCCTGATCACCGCCATACACCATAACAGTACCCTGATCACCTCATATGCAATAGCAGCATCCTGATCACCACCATACCTGTGTCTAGATCCCCGCCATACTCCATACCAATGTCCTGATCACTACCATACCCCATACCAATCTCTGGCATTTTAGGGTCTCAACTGATCAATTTTCAAATATATATCCAATAGATTGTATACTCTCTAACTGTCGCACAGACTAAATAATATACACTATTTTGGGATATTTATGCCCAAATAAATGTAGCAGAATACATTTTGGCCTAAATTTATGAAGAAAGATTTTTTTTTTGCAAATTTTAAAACAAAGGTAAGCAAAAATAATTTTTTTTCAAAGTTTTCTATATTTTTATATTTATATAGCAAAAAAAAAAACCCAGTGGTGATTAAATGCCACCAAAAGGAAGCTCTATCTGTCTAAAAAATGATCAAAAATTTCATATGGGAACAGTGTTGCTTGTATAATTGTCACTCAAAGTGTGACAGCTTTGGAAGCTGAAAATTGGCCTGAACTGGAAGGGCTTGAAGTGGTTAAAGACTGCTGTCCAGTACTGTGTAATGCATAGCATGGCAAGGGTATGTAAATCAGAAGTAACACCTTGGTGGTTTATCTCTGCCTGGAATACAGCTATAATTATAATCTTGCAGTAATTAAAACATCTGCATATTTAGTTTTATGATTATTAACTCCAAATAAATGTCCACAGGCTTGGCAAAACCAGTTTATATCTTGGGACCCAGCTAATTATTGTGGAATTAAGCAGATCTTGATTCCTGGGACTGATTTTTGGTTACCGGACCTCTACGTTTATGAAATGTAAGTGATGCAAACATTTCTAATTTATATCATGTCACAGAGCATTTCACAAGACTAAAGTCAGCCCTTTTGCATTCTAAAACCTTCGACACAGTCGACCACCCCCTCCTCCTCAAAAAACTACACTCCCTCGGCCTCAGAGATTCTGCTCTCTCCTGGCTCTCATCCTACCTGTCACAACGCTCTTTCAGCGTTACCTATAATGCCACCACCTCCCTCTCACTCCCCCTCTCTGTTGGGGTCCCTCAAGGCTCTGTCCTCGGGCCCCTTCTCTTCTCCATCTACACCTCCTCCCTTGGCCAACTCATACACTCTCACGGCTTCAACTACCACCTCTATGCCGACGACACACAAATCTATCTCTCAACCCCCCACCTCACCCCCTCGGTCTCCACCCGAATCACACACCTGTTGAGCGACATATCAGACTGGATGTCGCTCCACTTCCTTAAACTGAACCTCTCCAAAACTGAGTTTCTTGTCTTCCCTCCAGCCCGGACACCACCCCCCATTGACTTCTCCATCATGTCCAACAACGCCACCATCAAACCCGCCCCGCAGGCCAGAGTACTTGGTGTCATTTTGGACTCCAACCTATCCTTCCAGCCCCAAGTCCACTCTTTAACAAACTCGTGCAGACTCCACCTCCGCAAACATCGCCAAAATCCGCACGTTCCTAACTCCAGAAACCACTAAACAGCTCATCCACTCCCTCATCATATCACGACTCGACTACTGCAACTCCCTCCTCACTGGCCTGCCTCGCCGCTGGCTATCCCCGCTTCAGTCCATCCTGAATACGGCTGCCAGACTCATTCACCTTTCCAACCGCTCCGTTTCCGCCACCCCCCTCTGCCAATCCCTCCACTGGCTTCCGATTGCGCAACGGATCAAATTCAAAATCCTAACGCTGACGTACAAAGCTGTCCACCATACTGCCCCGAACTACATCTCTGACCTAATATCCAAGTACCGCCCAACACGCACACACTCCGCTCCTCACAAGACCTCCTTCTCTCTAGTTCCCTGGTCTCCTCCTCCCATGCCCGCCTCCAGGACTTCTCCAGGGTGTCACCCATCCTCTGGAACTCCCTGCCCCAACCCATCAGATTATCACCTACTCTCCTCTCCTTTAGGCGCACCCTGAAAACCCATCTCTTCAGGGAAGCCTACCCCGCCCCCTGCTAACTTGCCGACCTCCTCCACTCTTCCTACCACTCCATCCCCCACAGCTATCTCCTCCTGTGCCACCATCCCCTCCCTCCTAGATTGTAAGCTTGAAAGAGCAGGGCCCTCGATCCCCTCATGTTTTGCATTGTATTGGTATTGTTCTGTCACATGTTCTGTCCCCCTTTATAATGTACAGCGCTGAGCGAACTATTGGCGCTTTATAAATACTGTATAATAATAATAATAATAATAATAAAACATTTTTTTTTTTTCAGTTTGAGCCACTTGTTGATTTGTGTGAATTAAGCTCATCTATCTTCTTAACAGACAACCTGGCAATCTGTTGTAGAATATCCTGCTATAAATTAGGAAGGGAAGGTTGTGACCTCTGCTGGTATTTTTTTTTTTTCTTTTTTCGCCATTTGTGTCACATTGGGAATATTTACTTCCCTTCCTGTCTCATAGCCAAAAACAGGACATAAGAGGAAATCCTTGTGAATTAAAGGAATCCCTTGAAACCTTCAGGTCACCAGAACTAGTGACCCCTTTGGAAGATATTTCTCTCTGTCTTGGAGACAACTAAAAAATTTTGATTTTCTTTTACTTTAATTTTCTATGATAATGGTAAACAGAACAAACCCGGAAGGCACAGGCAGCAATAACAACCTGACAGGTGTTCTAATCCCTCGTCACTCTATTTGAATATATCAACACACCTATGCAGGTTGCATTGCATTTTGCGTTGCGTCTTGTGTTTTTGCACCTGCGTTTTTTCTGCATTTTTGGTGCGTTGTGCATTTTTTTTCTTTTTTTTTATTTATCTTGTTGCTAGGCAGATTTAAAACGCATCAATAATGCAGCAAATACATGCTTTTCTGCAGCATTTCCATTGAATTCTATAGAAGCAAAAATGCATTTTTTTGCATTCAAAAAAGTCCCTGACCCTTTCCAAAAAACTCACTAGGTGAAAATGCACAGATGTGAACATGTCCCATAGGAAATCATGTTAAATGGACTGTACTGCGTTTTTGCAAAACACTGCAGAAAACGCTTAGGTGTGAAATTAAGCTAAAGGTATCGAAACATGAAAAAATGCATGTATTGCAGAGATGTGCTTCCTATGGTTGTTTGTAATTTGCCCTGAAACACATACTTTAACCATAATGTTACAAGGCAGCCGCGCTGTGCAGAATCACGTATATATTCGTGATTGTGCACTTCCTGGTCGCGGGTGTGCATGCGCCACTGGCACGCCACGTCTGCTTTGATTTGTCACAGCAGAAGATGATCAGTTGCTGCAGGCCAATGGATGAGTGCCGGCACCCTCCGATCATCTAGGAAACAGGCAGAACACAGCTCTGCCTATGTAAAAAAGGCAGACCTGTGTTCTGTCAGTGGCTATGTGCTGGATTCGCTTTCCCTGCTGCACAGGGAATAGAATGCAGCACATCACCTAGTGAAAACAGCACAGACAGTACCCATGACACATAGCTAAGCACACAGTTAACCTCTTGATCACCTTAGATGTTTAACAGTGTCATTAGTACAGTGTCAGTGCAAATTTTTAGCACTGATCACTGTATTCGTGTTACTATTTGTGGGAAAAAAATGACATAAAGTTAATTTATGTACAGCATTGCACGGCCGTGCAATTGTCAGTTAAAATAACACAGTGCTGTATCACAAAAAATGGCCTGGCCAGCAAGGGGGGGATATCTTCCAAAGGTGAAGTGGTTAAAGTGGTTGTAAAGGTTCAAGGTTTTTTACCTTCACGCATTTTATGCATGAAGGTAAAAAAACCTTTTGTGTGCAGCAGTGCCCCCAGCCCCCTCACTACTTACCTGAGCTTCATCGCGATCCAGTGAACGGCAGCCTCGGCTGTCCCGGGTCTCTGCCTCCTTATTGGGTGAGACAGCAAGCGAGAGCTATTGGCTCCCACTGCTTTCCATCAATGCCAGTCAGCCCATGAGAAGAGAGAGGGGGTGGGGCCAAACTGCTGCTCCGTGTGTGAATGGACACATGGAGCAGAGGGTGCCCCCATACACTGCTTGCTGTGGGGGCACCCGATAAGAGGGAGGAGCCAGGAGAGCCTGCGGGGACCCAAGAAAAGGAAGATCTGGGCTGCTCTGTGCAAAACCACTTCACACATCAGGTAAGTATAGACATGTTTGTTATTCCCCCTCCCCCCCCCTCAGAAAATGAGGAATCACTTTAAGTTGCTAGTACCTGTCTAACATGACTCAATGCATAAGTATGTTCTCTAAGTGAAGCTGTGATTCATTAAAAAAACACTGTCCCTTAAAAAAAAAAATTAAAGGTGTTCCCCCTGTAAAAAACAGGACACAGTGGTGACTTTGAAGTCAGCGGGGGGAGCCACATTGCATGGTGGGGAGCAGGAGACAGCAGTGTAAGTGTTGACTTCTGAACAGTCTTCAAGAGACATTTTCTCAGCAATATAATAGTGGTCAGTGGCATGGTTAGCAAGAGAAGTACATATTTATTTTAGGAGGTATTCATTTTAGTGAATATTCACTACAGGAGGCACACCTTTTATTTTTGCTTCAGAGTTTAGTAACTTTCTATTAATACTAGTAATCTAGCTTAAATAAATATTTTCCATTCTTTTTTTTATGTTACCCTCTTCATTATGTAGGACAGATTCTGACAACAATATTCCTGTCGTTCCATACTACACTGTTACACACGAGGGGACAATTAATAATGCTAAACCACTACGGATTGTTAGCTCCTGCAATCTAGACATCTTCAAGTTCCCCTTTGATGAGCAGACATGCAGCTTGTCCTTTGGGCCGTACATTCATTCAGGTAACTTCATTCTCTTGGGAACCAGACCTTTATGACCAATTCACACTGATACAATGCTTGCTAAAAATGTTAAAAGAGGGTATGGTTTAGTGCATTGGTGGTCAGGGGCGGACTGACAACTCAAGGGGCCCCCAGGTAATAGGGGATCATGAGGCCCCTGTGTCCTTGCCCAAACTCAAAAAAGCCTATGAAAAAAGGTACCAGGGGCATCTCATGGGGCCCCCTACTGACCCCTGGCCCTCAATAGGGGTTCATGGGGCCCCTGTGTCCTTGCCCAAACTCAAAAAAGCCTATGAAAAAGGTACCAGAGGCATCTCATGGGGCCCCCTACTGACCCCGGGCCCTCGGGCAGTGCCCGAGTTTCCAAATGGTCAGTCCGCGCCTGGTGGTGGTATACTTTTTTGACATAGGGTTCTGACATCACCAACAGGATCCACATAACATTCAGTGAATGCAATGGTACAGAAAGCTGTGAGACACTGCAGGCGTACAACAGAAAATGGCCAAGGACTATGGACAAGCTATAATAGATGGTCAGAGAATGGAAACATGCTGTAGGAGATGATGAGAGTAGGAGAACATTGTGTAGGAGATGGTCAGAAAATAGGAGCATGCTGCAGGAGATGGTCAGAGAATGTGAACATGCTGCAGGAGATGGTCAGAGAATGTGAACATGCTGCAGGAGATGGTCAGAGAATGTAAACCTGCTGCAGGAGATGGTTAGAGAATGTGAACATGCTGCAGGAGATGGACAGAGAATGTGAACATGCTGCAGGAGATGGTCAGAGAATGTGAACATGCTGCAGGAGATGGTCAGAGAATGTAAACCTGTTGCAGGAGATGGTCAGAGAATGTAAACCTGCTGCAGGAGATGGTTAGAGAATGTGAACATGCTGCAGGAGATGGTCAGAGAATGTGTGTAATTGGTATATTAGAAGATAGGTTGGTCAAATAAAGTTAAAAGTAATACAGAACTATGACCACAATGTTATAACATACTGTTA